TACTGGCCATTTTCCAGCATGATATGCTGCGTCTGAGTTCTAGCATGTTGGTCTGAGTTCTAGCATGTTGGCCCTTTGGATCTTTAAGTTCTTAGTCTGGGTAGCATTTTTGCTTTTTTGGGGGGTTGTTTTTCTCCCCCCCCCCTTCCCCCTTCTTCCTGTCAGTAGTATATATTATGTAATATATACTACTGACAGGAATACATAATATATATTATGTGTTTCCTGTACAGTGCTAGAGAGTAACGACACTGGGAGCTCAGGAAAGCCCCACAACACCCTAAACCTGCTTTCAGACTTGTGAGGGTCCTGTTCTGTTTTACTCCTTCCTGGAAGGAAGCTGTGCATATGTTGCACAAGTTATGTGAAGCTTCCAAATACCTTTCATTGTGTTTTCTTATCAGTCTAGGATGTTCTTTGATCTTGCCTCTTCTTAGGATCCTTCCTTTCCCTAGTGGTATACATCCCCTTTGTTCTTTCAGAACTCGCTGAGTAATTGGTTGAGCCTCTTTTCCCAAGTCACTTTGACATCAGTCTCTTGGATTATCGACATTTCTAGTACGACAGCAGCCTGTGAGAAAGGAAGAACTCTGGCTTCTTCTCTTATCTCATGATAATTTTGTACCACCATAACAGATAATTTTGTTTGGTTGGGTGATGAAAGCTTTCTGTTATTACTCTTTTCTCAGTACATGGCTTTCTCCTGACCTCTTACATGTTTTGGCTCCAGCTGGGGGCTCAAATTGTCCCAGGGTCAATTTGGAGGCTGCTGACTGCCTTGTGTGCGTTAGGAACAGCTGCAGAAAGGAGTTGCACTGTAATTGCCCAGAGTTCTATCAACAGACTAGGTCAGAGAAAGTTAAAGTAATGAAAGGCAAAAAAACCATTGATGAGCTCAAATGCACTTTGATCCGGTGAACTGAATTGAATGGAAATTTTTATTTTTCTACACTGCTGTGCAAACCTGCATGCTCCATTTGAAAAACCTGTTCTTATTTGTACATTCCTTAGTCTTTGTTCCTTCTTCTGCCTCTACAAAGTAGTCTACTGTAGACTCAGTCTTGATTATAAAATTGCTGATAATACTTAATTGTTCCTGGTTTGTTTGTTGGGTTTCGGTTTGCTTTGGTTTGTTGGATTTTTTTTTAATTTGTGGTGTGTGGTATCTTTCTGTTCCTATTTAACACACAGTATAAGAGATCTGCCTTCAACCTGTGAACAATTTATAGTAGATTTCAAATTGCAGTAGAATTCTCTATTTCAAGTTGTAGTAGAATTCCCTATTTCCATCCCTGTCTTCTTCTCCCCTGTTTGGGCTGTGATGAGTTACTCTATGAACCCTGTAATGGGAAATTATCAAGGAGTAATTTTATAAACTGCTTCTGCCATTGGTTTTATATTGGTAAGTGTGCTACATCCATAATTTAAAATAATTGAATAAATATGGCATCTGGCTAGGTACATTGTATCCAGAAGTAAGTTTTAATTTGAGAAAAAGAGGGGCAGGTATTTACTGCTCTTAAATAACCTATTTTTTGTTACAGTGCTCTGTGTGTGTGCACTAATGGTTGGACTTCCTTCATTTTAGGGGGATTCTGGAGGTCCCTTGGCCTGCACAGGGAAGGGCAATAGATAGTATCTTGCTGGCGTCGTGAGCTGGGGTGAAGGGTGTGCTCAGCACAATCGTTCTGGTATGTACACCAAGGTGACAGCACTTTATGACTGGATCCATCGGAATACAAACTGATGAGCCAAGGACAAAATGCAGATCACCTCTGTGTGAAAGCTGCTTCCTGCTATTCAATTTGATGATACAACACGAAAACGCCACTGACTGTTCCTTGGTGAAAGGATGCATTTTTTTAATAAAGAAACTATCACTTGTGGTTCATCTAGCAATAACTGTTCAGCCTCAGAGGAACTTCAGGTTCCTTATGGATTTATCTTCCTTATGGCTATTTGCAGAAACAGCACGGCCTTAAAAACAAAATAAAATGGATTATAACCTGTAACAAAAATCCAGCCATACCTCATTTGTAATCCTTCTCTCCTTCCTTATCCCTTGTTATCTATATTTGTTTCCACATATGCATATCTGGATAAAAATGGCCACATGCCATATATATTCAACTCTTTAAGAATGTTACAGGATTCTAAACATAAATAATTATTTTATAGTTCTCAAAAATATAAATAGTGTATTGTGTATAAAGCTGAGATTAATTCTTTCTAGTTATGTGTGACTGCATGACTTTTACTTTCTGGGCTGTAACTTTTGGAGTCTCTACTGTGTTTTCTTAAAAATACCAGATATATAGCTCAAAAAATGCTAGGATGCAAGAAATTTTCATTAAGTAACTGGAAGAATATAATTTAGGTTCTTTGGGTGATGTCTAAATAAAAGGAAGGAATGAATGAGTTGTAATTAATTCAAAAGGAAATTATAATGCATTCTTAAATTCTCTTCAGAATTTGAACCAAATGTAGGGTTTAATATTTGCAATATGTTACAGGTGTACTCCTCCAGCTCTGGCTCTGGCATCCATTGTGAATTTTTAGCATGTTCCTGGTAGGTTGGGATTGTTTTTTGTCCTCTTTTCGGTCCACAATAAGCAGAGTTTCAGGCTCAGGAATTTTTTTTTTTTTTTTTTTTTTTTTTTTTTGTGTATCTTTCTGGGCTGTGACCACAAGGCCATACTAAATTGAAATGACATAGAAGGAAAATGGATTTATGTGGTTGGATGCATCCTTGGGCTCAAAGAAAGTAAAATAAGAAATGACAGCAACATTCCTTTAACCCTGGTAGTAAATCTAGGTTTTATAATCTCCTGATTAGCTTATCACTCCAAATCTAGCCAATTTAAGGTTTCCAAAGCTGTTTATGGGACTTCAGAATACTAGTTCTTAGCTTAATAAAAGAATTGTCCAGATGGCCTTAAGACCATTTAGATGGTCTTTAAGCTGTGCTCGATATTTGGAAGTGTTTAGCTTTCACCTTTAATATATATATTTAAAAGATGAAGCTGGCAGTTTGAACACCTTTTATTGCTGTCCACACAGCACACTTACTCTGCAGTACATAAGTATGTGATCTTTGTTTAATGTTAGTCCTACCTTGGCAGCATGTGGGAAAAATGTTGAAAAGAGCTAGCACTGTAATCTGCATGCAGTGAGATTGCTCTTTCTAATAATGTTATTGCTTTTCCTTCCTTTCTCCTGTTGGGCATCTTGCCCCAGCTTGTGTCAAACTTACAGCATAAGCTATATTCAAAGCCTGTATATTAGGAGGGTTGTTTCTTTACTCAATTATTCACATCTTCCTTTTTAATAAATGTGCTAAAACTGCAAGGGGCTATGTTTTATTTGTTTGGATGTGCCTCTGAAACTCTAAACTCCAGGTGCGATCAGAACTGCATTGGTGCTTTGGACTTTCCTGATTTGTAAAGGTAAAGGGTCAGAATTGCACATGGAAGAAGTTAGATCCCCCCAGATGAAAGACTTCAAGCAGTTTATAAATACATAAAATAAAATAAGGACTTTGGCCTTTGCATGGTGAGAACTCTATAATCATTAACTCTTTGTCTTAGAGGAACAGTTTTGATTTCAGACAATCCAGTAGGAAGGTCTACTGTGAGAAGAAATTGAATAATTGGACCTGATATCCATCAGGAGTAGTGAGAACCAGATAAAGGCTTTTCTAGTGTAAGAAGACCCAAGTAAGATTTTGTGCATCCAGATACATGTTCTGATCTTGATGACTGCTCAGTTTTACCTTCAGTCCTCCTGAGTTTTAAAGATTCTCAGAACCAAAACATGTGGGGTACACAATTTGTATTTCTTTTTACTTGTGGAATAAACCTAAGACATGCTCACTTTCATGGAGTACCTTTGCCTGGATGGGTGTGACGTGACATCAGGAATGCAAACCCTGGGTGTGCTTCAGGCAGCAGAAGCAAGGTGAGTTGCACAAAGAGAAAATTGGAGTGGTGGGATGAGGGGAGAGCACTCTGAGTTTTTGGCAGGAAAAAGGAGTGGTGCTGTGAGTGGCAGCAGGAAAGGGGATTGGGGAGAGAGGCTGTGTTTGGTTCTTAATGCATGATACTCCCTGTGCTGGGACAAAAGAGTGAGGAAGGGTGCAGTTACCAGCTACCTGCCCAGACTTTTTGAATCAGAGGGGAGAGAGATGCTCTGTGGGAAGGAAGGAGAAACATGGGCATGGAATGTGAACAGGAGAAATAAGATGAGGTAGGATCAAGGATATTTAGGAGGCTGGGTCGTAATCAGTCCCTGGCTACAGTAAGCTGTTGTGAGTGACTCCAAGTGCACACGAGAGTGCGTGTGGGAAGCTAGTGCAGACTGAATCACCACGGTTGTTTCATAAAAGCATGTCCTGTAGAGCACAGGTTGAAATTTAAGGCCATCTTTCTCTTCTCTTTATCTATGTCCTCTGGGTTTTTTTTACCTGAAAGCAGCTTCTCAGGTTTAGATTGGATAGTATGTTGAAGGACATAAATGCTTCTGTAACACCAGATATGATTTTAGGCAGTATAATAGCTAGAGGGAGAATAATTTACAGCACAAAGGTCATTAGTGTTCATTTCTTTATTGACTATAGAGGGAGACTAGAATCACAAGTGTTGACAGAGTCCCAGCCTAAGCAAACAACATGCTCTATGAACTTTTACTCTGTTCGTGCTGTTCAGCACCGCATCTGTTTAGCTGCATGGATAACAGTAATAACATTTTATTGTTTTGGCTGACAGCAGCAGAGAAAACACTGGTTCCTTTCAAAATCGTCCTTTAGCATTGCTAAAGGTTTAGTCACTTGCTTGTCAAGGGCTGGTACAGGCAGGTAGACAAACTGGAAAACCTAGTATTGCACAGCTGAGAGTCAGAGTTCTCACAGCTATGCAAATCAATACTTCCTCTGCCTTCCCTTTCTCTGCAGCTACGGCAGCTGACTTAAATTAGGGGAATTCCTTGGAAGAACAGTATTTTGAGACCTCTCCTATGAACACTATCCTCACTCTTCCTGTTTCCAGCCTCGTGTCAGAGCTACTACTGACCATAATTGCAGCAGAAACAAGAAGGAAATGAGCTGGCTCCGTGCTCACTTCAGAGACAGAGGTTTTCGCAGAGGACCCTCTTCTGAGACAGAAGCAATGAAAAGGCAGAGCTCTGCTCAGGAGCATGAGGTTATTGAATTACAGGAACATAAGGTGGAGGAAAGTGAGACTGATCATGACAAGCCCCTAAATGCTCAAACGAGAAAGGTAGGAATTTCATTTGGTCATTTGATCCTTCCAGTGGGGGAAATACTACACAGCAAGAGAAATGACACAAATGACAGAACATTTTGTAGGGGTGATTTAATTTGCTATTTGAGGTAAAGAGGCTAAAAACCTGTTAAATATAATTCTTTTCCCTTATCAATTAAGTGTTCTGAGAGTGGGATTTTAAGCTTTTTAATTTGGAAAGTGAAACTGTAATTGGTTCTCTGAATTTTGTTTTCTCTTCTAATGTGCTATCAGTGGAATTGGGCTCAAAACCAGAAAAAAGTTTAAATAAGTTTTAAAACCACGCTTTCCTTCAGTAGAAGTTAACCAGGAAACAGTGCTGCCAAACAAAAATAAGATGTCCTCAAACAGAGCATGCTGGATTCTCTTTATCTCTGAGTAATTTTCAGCTGCTAACTATTATGAATTTGTGTTCATAGAACACTCCAAACCCTCAGTTAAGGTCAGCATGTGACTCCTAAGGAGGTAGCTCCTAGTCCCTAGTTTAAAGCTACAGAACAGACTAATTCTGGCGGAGGAATAACATATTCACCCGTGACTGCTGTACAGTGAATTACACCACTTACTGCAGGAGTATTTGTGGCGGTGCCAAGATGTTTCCCGCTTTTCCGTGGGCACGGCTGACCGCACCGGGAGCTGTCTGCCTGACACACCGCCCTTCCCTTCCCTTCCCTTCCCTTCCCTTCCCTTCCCTCCCCTCCCCTGTGACTTCACTGCTTCCTTAGGGGAGTCCCTTTGCTCTCTTGTGCCAGGGGTCAGTTCCTTCTCCTGTGCTCTGGAAAGCTGAATCAGCTCGCTGCAGGGCCAGACACACTCCGGGAGGTGCAAAGAGGAGCAGCGGAGAGGGGAGGAGACGGGGAGCTAGGACTGCTGGAGTGTCTTGAGAAACCTTACCCTTAGGTTTATCCTTCCCCTTTCCAGAACTGAGTTTTTATTTGAGCTCTCTTTGTGCTGATTATAGCAAGTGGCTTCCCATCTATAAAATGGGAATTTTATGATTGGCTTTTCGCAATATTAAAATAAATATTATATGTGTTATGTTAGAAAGTTATGCTGTATTAATTTTCTTAAGTAGTGTGTTAAATATAGTTTTAGATTATAACATAATGTTAAAATAGAAACTATGCTGTGTAAGATACTTTTTTTAAAAAAAGAGGACTTGCACTGAGATAGCAGCCACAGGACACCTTAATCTTTCAGAGAAAAAGAATTTATTGCTCTCTTATCAGAAGAAACTAACTTCTTCCTGCCTTGCTCAGCCTTGAAGATGCTGTTAGGATTAAGAGGAAGAAGTTGACACTGACCAGGCAGAATCCTTTGTTTGAATGGAGTTTATGCATCATGTATGAATATGCTACAGGCTGTTTTTTTTAAGGGTTAATCTTCTGTTAACATGTGTCCCTTTTCTGGCTTATTTTGCCCAGAAAGAGGTACTCAGACTGTCCGTAACTCTTTCTTTTTATTGTCTCATATTGTCCTAATCCAAATTGTCCAAATTTTTATTACTCTAATTATATTGCTATTTTTATAACCACTTTATTACTATTAAACTTGTAACATTTTAAAAACAAATGATTGGCATTTTTCACCCTATCCTATACAGACTGCTGGAAGTTACCATGCTCTGCTTTCTGCTCAGCTGGCAGGTTAATCAGAGCTGCCCTGCCCACCAGGGAGAGAATTTCAGGGCTGCTGTTGCTTCTCCCTGACCTATGGGCAAAGTTTGGAAGGTGCTGGACTAGTTGTGGAGCCGAATGTTTTCTTGGGATCAAGCCAGTTTGCTATATGTGATTAAGAATTGTGTTTTGTGATAGTCTAAACACGTGGTAGCTCAATCAAAACTTGGTCTTGACAACTGCCTGTCTCAGCTGATGGGGCTATGGCTGATTTCATAGTTGCACTCTAAGCAGTAGTTACTGGCTTTTAAAATTTTTAAAATACAAAACTATACACTAGTGTTAAGTATTAAATTGAAATTAATATTTCTAAAATATTTTAAAAATAAAAAAAAAAAGTAAATGTGATGACAGCTGAAAGTATGCTGTAAACAAAACCATACTCAGTGTTTGCCTTTCATTCTCCAGTAGAGCAAAGTTCTGTGTGCAGAGGTTTCTACAGAGAGTGCTTTCCTTTTTCTGCCTCTGTTCCTGAAGGAATCTCCCTTGTAAGCTCTTTCTCTGTGTGTCTGTTTTCTCTCCCTGTTCCCCGCCACTGTCAGAACGCAGGACATCCCTCTGGGTGCCCTGGATGGTTCAAAATCCTGGCAGGGGCTCGGAGACCCTAGCAGGAAGACAAAGACACTTGGGAATTCAATCTCAACCCATAGAGCAAATTACCAACTTTATATAAAGAATTACAAGTCACAAAAGTTTAAGTAGTATAACAGTAGTTGTCCAGGGTGAAAGGTGGAATTTTGAAGAATTTTACTATGGGGGTCTAGGGGACAAGATGGAGGAATTTGGGCATTGTCCTGTTCTTCTTCCTTCTTCTTCCTAGCCTCCATCTTCTGGTTGATTGGTTTAAAGTAGAAGTACACTGTCGAACATAGATGATAGGTATTGGAAAATAACTGTAAATAAAGTACACATAGTTTTTAGTATAAAGAGATAGCTCCACCTCAGGGCAGTGCAGTGTGCCTCAGACTGACCTGCTGAACGGACCTCAGCAGGCCAGGCAGAAAAAGTTTTAGATAAGAAATAATAAACCACCTTGAGAATGACAGCCGAAGACTTCTGACTCCTTCTGCGACAGCAGGGTTGGGGAAAAGAGACTTTTGCTATATCTCGGGGTCATCGTGACCAGAGGAGATCCCGAGAACTGGTGTCCCTGGGTGGGCACATTGAAACTTTTAGCCAGCTGCTCAATTCAGTAAATTCAGTGAACGCCTCTCTGTTATTCTGTGTTCTTAGAAAGTTCAAAAAGTAAAGGAAGAATACCTGGATTAGTGCCTCCAGCAGCAGCTGGTTCCTGCCAATCTGCATGTGTGTGGGTGGCTCAGACAACCTACAGCATGTGCTTTTCCTGGTACTGATGACAAAAAGGATATGGAGTTTATTACTACCTTTATGGTGGATGGAGAGGGAGGGAGAGGAGTAATTAAAAAGACAGCATGGTCTGCTTATGCATTCAAGCCTTGCTTCAGTCTTCTGATTCTTCTGGCTGTGGAATAAAACAGATGAAGTTACCGGTTTTGACCATCACCTAAGCTTGCTGGTTTTTTTCCTCCCCATTTTTTTTTTTTTTTTTTTAATATTCATCCTGCTGGATTAACTCATTAAAAGACTAATTTCTGTCATGGTTTTCAATCTTATTAAAAGTTAAATAACAGGAAAGGTATTGTCCTTTCTCTTCCATATGAATGTACATACACATGCACAATTGTTTTGGGTGAAGTTTGCTTTTGACCTCATAGAACAGGTGAGATTTGCATTAAACTTCCTGTTAAGTACACTCAATAGCCTTCAAGTTTCCAATCTTCTGAAGAAAAAGTAAGTCAGCTACAAAAGTCTCAATTATTTCATGGAGGGTTTAACACAATACTATCTATTGAATAGCATTGCCTTTGCATTGGATGCTGGCATTCAGAAGCTATGCAGGTTGACATTATCAACGCTGCAGAGGTGAATGATTTTGGAAATACCTCCAGAGACACCTTTTTCAGTTGGGAGAGATGAAAACCATTAAAAGGAGAGCTTGTGGAATATGCAAATTTAATTCACGTTGTTAAAAAAAAAAAAAAAAAAAAACAAAAAAACCCCAAACCCACACAAAAAACCGTGGAGCCAAGAAATCACCTTTGCAGTACTTTAGCTTTATGGGCCATTCAAGAGTAAGAACTCCTGCACAAAGGGGAATGGTCTCTCTCAAGTGAATGTCCTTTACCTTCTCTAGGACTACATTTTCTCCTGCAGCAGTAGTCAAGGCTGGGAACCCCTGATGTAGGGCATTGCTTACCAATGAGGCTCTCCCATCTATGTGGGGGTTTTGTTTCTAAATGTGACAGCAGAGACATCCTTCAATATCTTTTCCTGCCTTATTTGATTATTAATCAATATGCCCTTCTCTTTTATACCTAGGAGAGAGATCCCTGCAAATCATGCAAGAATGTAGTTTTCTGGAAGTGTAAACTATGGATGGTTATATGTACGATATTTCTAGTGATCTTCCTGGTCATTCTCATCAGCCTAATTCTTTATTCTAGTAAGTATCTCACTCTTGGTTAGAGTAATACAAACATGCAATATGTGCACTCTAATAGAAGACAAATGCAACGATAACATCCTTTAATGTCCTTCAATAAACTGCTGAAGGAACTGGGATACAGACTGCAGAGGGTGGTACTGTAGTTCAGTAGTTGTTGTGAATGCTTTTAACTTATCAGGCAGCAAGCAACTTGTATCCTGATCAGGTGACAATTCAAGTTTGTAGCTAAGTGAGAAAATATCACAAGAAGAAATTTGGATATGAGGATGGAAATGATGTTTGTAATGTTGGAACAAGTGCCATGGATGACTTAGGTCCCATGGTATCATTGCCTGTCAGACTCCCAGAGCAGATGACTTTTGCTAATGGAGGTGGGTGATTGACCTCCAGGTGCTGTCACTTTTTTCAGGTGACTTGCACTTTCTGTCTTTCCCATTCAGTCCTTACCTAAGAAATCTATGAGAAAGCCACCCTGGCGAATGTTAAGAGGCTTGTTTTTCAATACTTCAGCTATCTGAAACTTTTTTCTCCCCTTTCTATCTCCTTTTGATTATTAGATGTTTACACAGATGAGGATGACTACTGGGATCCTGATGAATTACTAAGCAATGGAAATTTCCACAATTTTTCAGGAACTTTGGAGTTAATGTGTGGTCTCTCACACTTCTCCTCTGAGGACATTACTAAGAGGGTAAGTGTTTATGTGATTCTTGGCAAAGTTGATTCTGCTTCAGTGTTTTGCCTTTTAAGTTTCTGTTTCTCTGTGTAGCAACGCAGTCATTTCCAAGTCCACAAATAAAATGTGTTGTACTTTTTAAAGTCACAATCTAGTAAAAAAAAAAAAAAAAGTCTGCTTTTAAGCACAAGAAAGTATTGATTTTTTTCCCCCCTAAATTTGACCATTTGTTAAGACATTGTCTTCACCTTTTTCACAGAATTATTGAATAATTTAGGAGAGGCCTGTGAAAGTCATCTAAGCATAATATGGGCTAAACATCCTGTGTGCTGCATTCTCTTATGAGTACGTGATTACAGCCTGGGTTTATAGTGATGATTTCTGCTGAGCCAGCACAGCTCTGAGTTACAGCTGAAATATGCTCAGCATACATGGCAAAGATCATTTGGACATGGTGGGAAGGCAATCTCAAGACAGAGACCCTCCCCCCCACAAAGTAAGAGTTAGAAAAGCCTTTTGGTACTAATTAGATCCCAAACCTAACAGCAATCACTCAAATGTACAATTAACTTGTCTGTCAAATTTAAATGTCTCTCTACCATTTCCAGGGCAGATATTTGCTGTTATTTGACCTTCAGCACCTGTTTTTGTGCTCCTTAAAGCACTTTGTAAGCATTATTTGCTGTGTTTTTTTTTTTTTTTTTTTTAAATTTGTGAGGGCAAAAAAGAGATTGAATAGAATAAACATTTTTTTCCCTCTCTCTCTCAGCTAACAGAGGTCTACAACTCATCTCCAGCTTTAGGACGTTACTTTAGGTCAGCTCAGGTGATTTCTTTCAGGTAAGCAATTTCTGTCACCAAAGTTATCTGAAAATTACAGGCTTTTGATGAAACATACATTTGCTTATGTAAATATGTACAATATTTAAATCTCTGAAAAATGGGTTGTTAGGGGAAAATTATGCGTATAGGCAGTGAAAACTGGTCAAAGGATCATCTGGTGTAAATGGTAATTGCTGCTAAAATTATATAATGACAGGAACATATTGTTGCTGTGAAGTATCATCTCTGTTATCTTTGGTTCCAATTGCAGCCCTTAATAAACACATTCAAGGATATTTATTAAAAGGGAAATTAATAGCTGGAGATGCTTAAGATTGATGTAGTTTAAATAATCTTAAATATATAAAACAGGGTTCATAGGCAGGAGAGAATAATTTTGTTCCCAAAATGGATAAAGGCAAGAGGAATTTACATGTCTCCTGTCATGGAGAGATAGCAGGAAGGCAAGGGAAAACAGAGAGCTTTCCCAAGGACTTCTGAAAAAGAACTCTTACAAAAGAATTTAGAAAGACAGGAAAAAAAATGAAGGGAAGTAGTTTTGCAAAGTCCCAGGTCCTCTGAGATAGCAATGACAGAGGACCAGCCACGTTGCAATGTGGCAAGTGGCAGTCATGAAGGCACTTTGCTCCCTTGGGGAATAAGCTCCCTTGCCCTGCCAGCCTTGGGCATGCCAGCTTTGTTAACAGTGAACTGTAGCTCCTTAGCCTTATGGGTATAACTATGATTCAGACCATCAAGTACAAAGCCGTAGTTCTGTGCATACATCGAGTAGCTAATAACTCTCTCTGCCTCTTTGATGTCTCTCTCTTGTTGTCTCCCTCTCTTTCTTTCATTTTCCCCCATTCAAGTACTTTTTGAAAATGTTTTGAATTCTGTGAGTACAGAAGATAGCTGTTGAATTGCAGTCACAAAAAGCGAAATCTCCACAGATGGTCTCCAGTTCACTGGTTTGTGTAATCCACTCCAGAGCTGAGTCAGGAGCACAGCTGCATGGTCCCAGATGCTGCTAGCAGGAAAACAAACCTTCCTACAGGTTTCTAGTGAAACTATGCACAGGGTATTGCAACACCTCTTATCAGTAGCTTCTTGTGAACCACCAGTATTGAAAACTGCATTCCATTAGAACACATGTCCAATTGCCCCTTGTGCATTTGAAAACATGTCCCTGGCTGGCTTAAAGTACGAACCCAGTTTCAAGAGCTGTTCTGAGAAGGGAGGGTGAGGCAGAAACTGGCGTCTTTGACAGTTTTCTTTCATAATGCTCTTCTTGGGGAAATGTTGTTTTTAAAAAAAAAAAATCCATCCCAACACTGACATGAAAAGTCAGTCTTTCAAACAGGAAGAAGAAAAGATCCTGTTGATACTTGAAGACATTCATCCTTGACTTTGTTTTTCAGTAATGAAAGCTCCACTGTAATTTATCAGCTAGTGTTTTCTGTACCACCATCAACAGAGGGATTTATGGAAAACAGTATGAACCCAGATTTTATAAGGAACATTTTACGCCAAAATATTTATGATGAAGATACTCTTAATCCTGGGACATCTGAATGTGACAGGTTAAAGCTCAACCCGACTTCTCTCACATGTAAGTGCTGTACCTTAGAGAAACTGTTTCTTTACAAAGACCAGAAGTATTTATGGGAAAGGAGGGAAATATTTCTAGAAAGATACTGAGATTCATTAGTATATATAATTTGCATTAGTGTATATATATATTGCATAACAGTATTAAGAATATTTTTAAATATTCTTAAATATAAGCTTTCAGAATATTTTAAGAATAGCTTTAAACTATTCTTAAAACAGCTTTCAGAAAGTCTTGATATGCTTAACTTAAAACCTAGGACTGTTTGATCCTTTGATGAGAAAGGGAATAGTGATGAGGCTGGTTAGCTGTGGGCTCCAACCAAACTTTTCTGACCTAATATTGCATTTTATCTGCACAGAAAAATTCTCCTTGTATGTATGTGTACCATAATGGCGAGACAAATAATTAGAAATATTTCTCCTTATTGTACATTTGGTTTTGAATGCTAACAAAACAAATTTTAATCTAAGGGATGAAAAAGAGTCCTGATTTTTGTCTTTCATTTTCTGGAAAATTTATTATGTACAGAAATGCCTTTAAAGGAAGCAAATGTTCATTCTTCCAGGTTTTCTAGGCAGTGATTCCAATGACTACCAGCAACTAGATGGTGATTCCAATGCATTTATATTTGTCCTGATAGAAATGCCCATATAAAAGTCCCATGAGCTTTGAACCTATACTAAAAACAATGCATGGAGCTGCCTCCCCCCAGTGCCAATTTACTGAGCCACACCTATGTGCTTTTAGAATAATCCTAGGCTAACAATTCAGGATTGCAGTGTAGGTAAATAAGGTTTGCAATTAACTCATATTGGTTTTTCTTGGGACTCTTAGCAAGGGACAAGAGATCAACAGGTCATGGGTTCCAATTTTTAGAAGCATTTTGTTCCTTATATATTGACAGAATTCTTAGAAAAAGTAGTGTAAAAGGATACAGGAAATAATATGTTCAAATAACTATTTAAAGTTTAATTTTAATATTAATATAGTACTGTTTTAACTTTCAGAAAAAATATGGAAAGATTCCTCATCTTCATCACCACCTAGAAGAGATGCGATTCCCTATCTATAAGTAATCCCAGGGCAGGGAACTATTCATTAGGTAGAAACACTTCTAAAATTGTTGTCCTATAAATACAGCCTGTGGTGCAATACTGTTAATAAAAGTGTGGTATATTTATGACAGTGTTGTATTGCTATAGCACCACTACCTTCTCCTATATCTCAGTAATCCATTTCACCCTTGAGAAAATCATGTATTTGATGCATGCTCTGTTGACTTTGAAAGCTCTGCTTTGCCTTGACTTATGATTAAATCTGAATGTTCTGCATGAGCTTTGAAAGCAGTCTTGCACGTGACTCCTTTCTTCTTCTCTTGGTTTATACAAAATAATCTGTACAGCTTCATCCTCAATGCTCACTTCCACTCAAACTCACCTGTTATTTTTTTTCCCCTCCAAAAAATGTCACATTTACTTGCTCTTTCCTTATAAAACAGCCTGAAAACCTAAATACATATATATATATATATATGTGTGTGTATATATATATATATATATATAAATATGTGTGTGTCTGTGTGTTTTGTGTGTGTGTGTATTTGTATTCTTTAATTACATGCAAGGCCTTTGCACTAGCTTCTTAAGAATGCTTCAGCTCTCATAATTTCCTTATTCTTCCTACAGCCTTCTTGGATAAGGTGCTCTTTGCTCTATTTTTCTCGTCTTCAGTGTGAAATACGAAAGAAGAAAACAACAGCATGAAGAGACATGTCTCATTCACTCACAAAGCTGAATGTCACAGGAATATTTAAAGGGTTGAATTAGCAGTGTGCTTTTACAGTTAGCTACTGCTACTAGTGAATAGACAGATACTTGACCTGGTTTTGTAAATCTGAACATTTGTAAGTCTATATCCTTAATTATAGTTCCTGCCTAGCACTGGGGATAAAAATGAACAGATGTAAGATGTTTGCCTTAATAAGGCAGTAAATAGCTGTTCTTGTTGATGAGAGACCAGAGGAGATGAATCAGTGCCAAGAGGATGGTGCTGGAGCAGAAGACAGGCCAGAGTGGCACAAAAGTTACAGGCAGTAACTGGCTATAATGTAAAAGTTAAGCATTAACTTTATGTAGAATGAAACATATTCACTACCATGTGAGTGAATTGCATCTTGTCATTTATTTGTAGTCTTATAAATGTTAGTACTGTTGGATAGAACTTGTATTTTAAGAAGCATTTTGTATTGTAAGAAATATGTCATGGAAAATTGTTTTTCTCTTTCTAATATTACTAGTTTATTTAAGGAGTAATCTGACAATGTTATTGTGCATTAAATTATTTATTTTTTGCTATTAAAGTGACTCTTTTCATTCTTTAGCAACTCTGGTCTTTCAACTGCGTGAGTTGGAAAATAGCCATCGGAATTCTAAATGCCATGAAGCATGTCTGACAGAGCTGTACGCTCAAACCCATAGTTGTTGTTGTTGTATGCATTCAAACTGAGTTTGGGAAATGTTCTGGATCAAATTAGTAGTTTGCATGACTCTCATATTTGCGGCTTCTTCTGATTCTCTCTTGGATTTTAAGATACAGGAACTATAATTTCTCTTGCTGTAATAATCTTTGCAGCATACACGTAGAAGAGAGATTCCTTTTGATTCTTATGCTGGGGAAGGATAAACATCATGGTTTATATGGCTTGTCCTAAAAGCAGCATGCTATGAAAGTACCAGCAGCAAAGAAATAAATTGCTGTTGAGATGCTGCTCAATCTTATTGCTCTCACTGAGACACCTGATCCTTTCCTTGAACACTTCTGTATCTTGATTCTAGGAACTGAAAAATAATATAATGATTTAACTTCTTTATGGTGATACTTATATAGGCATTAAGAGTTGAGAAAGGAGTCAAGCATTCATTTTTTTCCCAGCCATCCTCCTTTGTGTCCGTACATTTACCCCAGAACTTCACAGGAAAGAAAGAGGTGGAGCTGTAGTAAGATGTGATATTCAACAGAAAATGTCTGACTTTACAGACTGCATCCAGTCAGGATTTGAACTCTCACTGAAGGAAGTGTCAAAAAAAGAGTAGTTTCTGGTTATATATCAGTGAGGTAAATTGATCATGTAAAAAAATTAAAAAGTGAATTAATTATGACTCAATCCATTAGAGATACAGCAGTGTGAAAACACATTATGACATAAAGTAATAATTAAAAAATAATTTAAAAGCACATTATTACACCACGATATTTTGTATGAATGATCAATATTAATTTTAATAGAAGGTATGAGGATAATACTTTAATGACTGGGAGAACTGAGACATTGTTAAAAAGCAGCTTGTGGAGTCAGCCCTTTAAAATCCTATGGCTGGTGTCATCTGTGTAGCCACAGCAGCCAGTATGAGTTTTGGGCAGACTCAGCTACCTGCCACAGCAGTGATACCTGCACATCTGGCAGTGTGTCCATCCACTGCTCTGTGCACTTGCCCATGGGACCATCCCCAGCATGGAAATGGCATGTGGGAGTCACAAAGGCACTGCACCATAAAGCCAGGGCTGCAGCCAGCAATCTCATACAAAGGAAGACTTAAAATCAGAAACACTGTTCAGCATCTTCTTCCATACTGTTTTGTTACAGAAATGGAGCGAGTGAAAAAACCTGCTTAAGCAAGAACACAGACACATAATCACTTTGTGAGCTCTGGTAAACAGCTGAATACCTGGTTTCAGTCCTTCACACGTGTCCAGACTGCTTGCAGAGGCGGGGCTGGACTGTGAGGTGGTGACACTCTAGCATTAGGCCAAACTGGAGACTTCAGCAGGAGCGAGCTGTGGAAGCTTTGTGTCATGGAAGCAGCACCTGGACTTCTGCCACTGAGAGGCAGTTATCAGCCTCAGTATCAACAGTATTCTCATGGGTGTAATATTTGTTTTGTGTGCATTTTATTGTTTTGGGGCTTTTTATTTAATTCCAACTTTAAGACTTCATGCTAAGTAGTATTACATTAGAAGGGAGGGAATTTGAGAAATTAGTTCTTTATAAAAACTGTGCATTGTATAATGGTACAAATCAAGCATGTCAGAGAAATTTTGGACAGCAGTAAGTGCATCTAACACAAGGTTTATGCTTTAATTTAAAACATGAAACATTCTCCAAACAAACAGAAAAACCCTGTTATTATTGCATTTTTGAGATTTATAGCAGTAGTTCTTTAAGGCCCCTTTAAAAAAAGTCTAAAAGTCCAGAAAAATGTACAGCCTCAGTTGCTTAAAATATTGCAGCGCCTAATTTTCTATAGGGGAACACTGTCATATGATGGCAGTTGCTACTGATTCCTCCTGGTTTAATTGTCAAGTCCTCTACCCAGTCCATGTTTCTTTCTCTGATCAGCTGTTCATGGACAGGTTTGTCTCATAGTAATGACTGGCAGACGTAGTCTAATGAGTAAGTTTGGTAACGAGGGAGGTATTTGTTTGAAGCTCTGGCAGCAGAGGGATGGTCATCATGGCTGCACACACTCAGGCAAAAGAATACCTTTAAGTTACCAGGACATCATCATATTCACTGTGCTCTTCAGGGCTGGTGACATTTGCCTTCCCCTCAGGCACACTGATAAGTGCATATTCTGTCTGATAATTGCTGTCAATCACAGAGGCATCATGTTTTACATCATGGCTGACAGTCGAGTACCAAAGTTCACCGGAATTCGTAGAATCTTTTTTGGCAACGTGTTCCTGAGGGGGAAAAGGGGGAAGAGAGAAAGAGCAAGGCTTCAGTGTGGTTATACCCTGAACAAGTTTGGAGGCGTGAGCAGGTCTGGTATAGCCTGTACTCATGCATTTGACTAATAAACACAATGTTAGGCTTGTAAATCCACAGTCATTTCCCAGCTGTCCAGGCTGTGGCTGCACACCTGGAGAGCCCAACAACCCACGGCCCTGCTTGGCGGTGCTGACACAGTGGAAGCTCATGGGTGAGAAGAGCAGCGCCAGTGGAGCCAGGCAGCCTGCACTGGGCTCTGGCGGCTGTCCCGGGAGAGATCATCCCTGAGGCAGATCATCCCTGTGACATCCACCCAATCAGGGAATGGGAGCTGATGGGCGAGAAGGGAGAGTTTCGTGGGACATTTTGTCGTGCAAAGGGAGAGCATTTGAGATTTGAACAAGACTTAATAGGGGGTGTTTAGGGAAGGAACTGGAGGAAGGGGAGTCAGGGTGACTTGCAGAATAAAAAGCATAAGAAAACAGAGGAAGAAAGGGAGGGACAGGAGTCATGGCGAGCTGCCAGAGAGACTGTAGGGTCTGGCGGCAATGAAGACCCCCGGTGCATGTGTGTATGTGGCTGTCCAGGAGATGCACTGTCCTGGAAGGGGCCCTGGCCTCTCCAGAGATGAAGTGAGGGCTAATTCCTTCCCCAGCAGCCCTCACCTGATGTTGTCCTTGAGAACACAGGGAAGAGAAAGAAAAGCCATTAGTGAAGGAGGAGGTAAGATTGTGTTGGCAAATGCCTTCCTAACTCTGTTTAGACTTGTCCCTCCTTTTGCCTCCTGAAGGTGTTTGCTAATGGGTTGTGGGTGATTGTGCATTAAATAGTTAGCAGGATGACTCATTAAATCTAAAGGGCCAAGGTGCACTGATTAGGTACTTGGAGACAGAAGTTAAACATTTGTTTGCCCTTATGTTCTTGGTTTGAGTGCACTGGGTACTGAAGCCAGCGATAAACGACTGGCTTTATAGCGGTATCCTCTGTTGTCTGCAGTAGTGGCAATATTTTGAGTGAGTGTTGCTGGGTTCGTGGTGACATTTGTAGCTACCTTCCACACTCTCTAAGTGGAACAGAGGTCTCTGTTTCATGGGTTAAAAACTCCAAAGGGTTGGCTTTTATTTTTCAAGCCTAGAAGAAGGACAATGTTAAAACAAAATTCCTGCAGAATTTGCCTTGAATTTTCCAAGTTTATGCAAATCGTATTGTCGGTTTAGATTCTGCTTTGCATGGAAGATTTCCTGACCATGAGAACACTTCAGTGAAAATAAATTCTCATTTTTGATTTGAGGCTTTATAAAGTTTTGAGATGTAGAAATTCCAGAAATTTTAAGGAGCATAATAA